CCAATCTTGTTTCTGTCCTTAGACTGATGGTTCAGAACTAAATTTTTTACCTCTATTTAGGAAAGGTGCTGTATGCTGTTTTAGGATTGAAAGATGTATTTTATCCCTAATCCTGGGTGGTCTTTACTTTCTAAGAGAGCCAGAGTATGTATTCATCGTAGTTGTTTCTGTAAACTCTGGCATACTTGAAATCCCTTTTGAAAGTAACATATTTGTTGCTTTGTGTTTTTTTTAAGTGTAGCATTCAGATACATATGAAAATTAATTAAGTTACTAAAAATTATATGCTTGCTTAAAATTTACCCCTCCATATTAGAGATGACATGCAAAAAATATGTTTATTACAAAATAATAGAGAATTAAGAGCCAGTTGATTATACTTCCTCCATTTCTAAAGTGACTGGAGGATTGGCAGTGAACAAGTGAGGAAGCTACTGTTCCATATTTTTTTTTTAAAAGAGCTTCTAATTAATTAAGACAATGGAGCTATCTATTACTTCCGAATTGCTTTTTGGAATTCCGTTTATTTTTAACACCTCCATAAGAGGATAGTTGGGAAAAGAGCTAAACTTAAAACTCATCAGTATGCTTTATAATTTTATAGCATTGGTGAAATTTTAGCAATCACATTTTTTAAACTATTATAAGAGTGAGGTTTGGCTAAAGTTTATATCTAATTTCTCTGTCATTTACAAATAATTGAAAACTCCCTGAACATATCCTGCATATTCAAATTTGTATTTGAAAAAATTTTTAAATCTTTATTTTTGAAGGTATTACAGATGTCCCCTTTTTCCCCGCTATTGACCCCTTCTAGCCTGCCGCTGCCTCCCCCCTCCCCCCCAGGCCTTCACCACCCTATTGTCTGTGTTCATGGATTATACATGCAAGTTCTTTGGTTGATCTCTTCCCATCCACCCCTCCTTCCCTCTGAGATCCAGCAGCCTGTTTCATGCTTCTATGTCTCTGGATCTATTTTGTTCATCAGTTTATTTTGTTCATTAGATTCCACATATGAGGGAAATCATGTGATACTTGTTTTGAAATTTCCTTTGTATTTGTACAAGTTTTGAGGACTGGAAAGACTACAGAAATAAACTAATGAATGTACCAGGTTTCCTTTCCCTCTGCCAAATGGGGAATCACAGAAGTAACCTTACATACTGGAGTTAGATGCTTGACATCTGAACAGATAGTTGCATTTTTACATGTGTTTAAAACACATTTGTTGTGTTTTGTTGTTAGCTTATAATCTATTTGAAGAAACAAAGAACTTTAACATCTTAACAAATATGAAGATAAACTTTTACTTATAGAATGACATTTTAAACACAAAGTTGACTGATCAAGTCAACAAAAGTGCTTTGTATTACCACTTGAAGTTCTGATTGCAAATCCTTGTGAAATAGAATTTTTCCCTGACTTACCTCCATTCCTGAAACAAATTATATTGTCCCATATACTAGGTATTTGATTTATGTATTTTGAATGAGTGAATGAATAAACTAAAGTTTTGGTAACTGAAAAGTTTGAAATTACCTTAGATATGCACAGTAGGATGGGCAGCTCAGCTTTAGGAAGTTGGGTTCTGAATTCATTTTCACAGATTCCTCAGGTCAAAGATCCCTCTTACTCCATTGATACTTGGAATTACTGCTTGGTTCTTAGTCTTTAATATCTTATAGGAAGTGAGCAATCAATTCTAAACCATCTGAAATTCTGAGGTGATAAGCCATTTTGTATAACTACATTTTTAGCATGGTTGAGAGTTTATTTCTTTGTATATCAAAGAGTCATTATTGTCATTCTGAGTAATAATTTTAATACTCTGCTGCTTACTGAAATGCCCCAAGATCTGTTGTGTATAGAGCATAAAATATGCCTGGGAATAGGTAGTTTTTTCTCTTAATTTTGTTGGCAACTGCTGCTTAGTGCAGTCATTATGTGACATCTGCAAATTTTCTAGTTGTGTTTTGTAACTATTTAATACTGACTGTGAAATTCAAAGCATATCAATATCTGATCCATTTTCACAAACTGTGCTTCCCTCCATAGTAACACTTACTACCATATTTACCTTACCCATTTTCTTCTGTCTTTCCACAATATTGAGCTTCTTAAAGATTGTTTATTATCTACATGTTTCCCACTAGGTAGTAAGTACTTAAAAGATTTACTGTCTGGCTATATAAATGAATGAAATAAAATGGGATGAAATTAAAAATTATACTAGAGGCCTGGTGCATGAAATTCGTGCACTAGGAGGGGGACGGGGGATCCCTCAGCTTGGCCTGCACCCTCTTGCAGTCCGGGAGCCCTCGGGGGATGTCCAGCTGCCAGCTTAGGCCCGCTCCCTGCACAGGCCTAACCCGGGAGTCAAACATCCTTAGCACTGCCACGGAGGCGGGAGAGGTTACCACTGCTGTGCTCGCTAGCCATGAGCTCGACTCAGGGCTTCTGGCTGCACGGCGCTTCCCCTGTGGGAGTGTACTGATCACCAGGGGGCAAGTCCTGTGCTGAGTGTCTGCCCCCTGGTGGTCAGTGCACTTCATAGCGACTGGTCGTTCCACCGTTCGGTCAATTTGCATATTAGCCTTTTATTATATAGGATGATTTGACCAAATTTGTTCAGGTCTGTGAAATAAATTTAAGGAATATTTCAGAAAGTATATAGCAGGGGTCCTCAAACTTTTTAAACAGGGGGCCAGTTCACTGTCCCTCAGACCGTTGGAGGGCCGGACTATAGTTTTAAAAAAAAACTATGAACAAATTCCTATGCACACTGCACATATCTTATTTTGAAGTAAAAAAACAAAACGGGAACAAATACAATATTTGTATTTGCATGTGGCCCGCGGGCCGTAGTTTGAGGACCCCTGGTATATAGTGTATCCTCTGGGCAATAGATATATATCTGTTGTAGCTTCTTTTGTCCTTATTTGTTGGGCGTTTTGGTGGTGGTGCTTTAGTTATGTGGTTTTTTGTTTTGTTTTGTTTTTCACTGCCTGGTTCTTGATTGTGCTTTGGATAGGTGATAAGTTTTCACTTTATTGAAAATTATTTTGACTTACTCAAAGATATTTCTTCTAGTCTCCCTTTCCTGGTGATGATGAAGAGGAGGTTTTTGACAGTATTGTAAATGATGAAGTAAGGTATCCAAGGTTCTTATCTACAGAAGCCATTTCCATAATGAGAAGGGTAAGAATTAATGGTTTATAAACTATTTAAACTTTTTATATTGAAGGACATTTCCCTGTAGAACTCTAGAAGTTGTTTTCCAGTTCATAGTTGCATGGTTTAGACCAGCCGTGGGCAAACTACGGCCCGCGGGCCATATCCGGCCCGTTTGAAATGAATAAAACTAAAAAAAAAAAGACCGTACCCTTTTATGTAATGATGTTTACTTTGAATTTATATTAGTTCACACAAACACTCCATCCATGCTTTTGTTCCGGCCCTCCGGTCCAGTTTAAGAACCCATTGTGGCCCTCGAGTCAAAAAGTTTGCCCACCCCTGGTTTAGACAAACACATACAAAAAGAAATCTAAATCTTTGTAGGTTATGAGAATCTTTATCAGTGAAGTTGCTGGTTTTATTTTACTTTTTAACTTTATGTTGTGTTAGCTATTAAGAAGAAATCCTGAGAGGCGCCTTGGAGCTGGTGAGAAAGATGCAGAGGATGTAAAAAAACACCCATTTTTCCGAGTAAGTATGAAAGTTTAGAATTTTTTCTGAAACTATAGCCATTAGGAGTAGGAAACTAAACTGGACATTTTATATTTTGTAATTCAGCTAATTGATTGGAGTGCTCTGATGGACAAAAAAGTAAAGCCGCCATTTGTACCTACCATTCGAGGACGGGAAGATGTTAGTAACTTTGATGATGAATTTACCTCAGAAGCACCTATTCTGACTCCACCTCGAGAACCAAGGATACTTTCAGAAGAGGAGCAAGAAATGTTCAGAGATTTTGACTACATTGCTGATTGGTGTTAAGTTCCTACCCACTGTGAAACCAAGCAGACTGACTACAAGATGACCTCTTAAAAATAGCAACTCTTCATTTGCTCTCTGTGCCACCAGTAGCTTCTGAGTCTGTTTTTTAAAACACATGAAGATTTGTTTTAAAGTACTTCTGATATCTTCTGAAAAGTAGCTTCTTGATAAATTCTCAATGTAAATCTGAGCACTGGAAACAGTTCCTTGAAGTTTAAGCTGAATGAACATCAGGCGTGAAAATCTATCACAGATGAATACTTTTGGATCAATAGTCTTTTTAAAAAAAAAAACAAATTTGCTCTTCTATAGTCCCTAGTTTGGCTGTATGCCTGCCTTAAGTGGAAGGAAAATGAATCAATTAACTTCACTTAGCTGAATTTTTTAAATGAAAAAAGGGTTTGGGATGCTGTTACTAGTCAGACATGATTCTGTTTGAATAAGGCAAATACTCTTATTTTTTTAAAGAAATAACTGAAATATCAAAAAAAAAAGTAGTGGTAGTTTGTGCACATTTTTAGGCCTTTTTTAATGAAATGAATTGATGTCTTGTTTTATAAATTTTTTATATTTATTAGGAGAAAACTTTTATTGCCTTATCTTTACCAACTATGTAACAGAACCTCACAGCTTTTCAACAGAGCTACTTGCCAAACACTTGTTTATTAAACCATGAAATGAACAGGAACAATTAAACATCAGCATTTACTTAAAATTTTAAGAACGAGAACTTCTGATTAGCCTGAACCAAGATACTGTGTTAACCTGTATGCATTCCCAAAGTCTAAACACTCAGCATGTTCAGTCATACCTTCCTCCAAAATCAGTGAACTCATTAGTGCTTCTTTTGATATTCATTGTACATTTATCAACCTAGTTCATCTTGTTCTTGTGTCTACTGTAGAAGGGAACTATATCTTTGTTAAAACATAGGGGTTATCATTGTATACATGCTGTGAACATGTATATGTGCAAGTTGTAATGTATTCTATGTTGGTTTATTATTTAATTTCACCACTTCATCACTTTGTACAGTGGCCAAGCAGACACCTCAAACTCCCGCATTTGTTAAGTGCATTTGTACATTTTAGGCCACTGGATCCAGATTTTATATTGGCAGTTACTAAGGGCAAAAGCAATATATTGTAACAGAATGTATAAATATTTTTGATAAAACAGTTTATATTTTATAAAAATTATAACACTAAAGCTGTACCTCAAAAGTCTCAAAAATAATTTGATCAAGTACTTTATACAACTTTTCAGAGGATCCTTTCGTGGCTTTTTAATGCTCTTATAGGAAAGTCTTTTTGTAAGCCATGACTTTTCCACTTGCCTGGAGTTTTGGATATTTTTGTTTGTTTGTTCATTTGTTTTTCCCTTCTAGTCCATGACTTCATTGTTTTTCCTTAGTTCAATAATAACATCTTTGATTCTGTGCTTAGCATATTAGGTTCATCATACCTCAGGAAAGCAAGTTATTAACTGAACATTCTGAAGTAACCATTTAATCACAGTGATCTCATGTCTTAAAAACTGTTCAAGTTTAAATCATGAGAAACACGAAAGCAGAGAGTTGAGCTGAAAACATTTATAAATATTTCAGCCTTGCTAGAGGGTGTTGGCATGTTTTTGCTGTACTCTGAGAACAATTCAAATGGTTCAGAGATAATTCATATTTCCTTTCAAGTTGATTATTACCCAAGATCCTTTGGGGGATAATCTTCTAGAAGGAGCAATATGTTGTTTCAAGTTATTTTTAAATGCCAGTTGACTTTTGGTAAAGGACAATAGAGGATCTTAGCTTAATTGCCTGGCTTTAATTTAAACAGTATTAACACAACATTTTAAAAAAACACTAAATACTTTTGAGGTACAGTCTTTTCACCTTTTCAGGTTCTCAAATATGTATAAAAAGCAATGTCTAAAATAGGCTTTTAGCATTAAAAACTGACAGCATTTTTGTAACTACACAATGTACAGAAATTTTTTTTTTAATTAAAGCCAATCACTAAAAAAAATTAGAGGGCAGGGTATATTCACACCAGTAAGCTGAAGAAAGCACTAATTTTTTCTGTAGTTTTAAACATATATATATATATTTTAGTCAGATTTAAAATTTTTAAACTCTATAGAGTGTAAATATATTTTGCTATTACTGTATGTGTAAGTGACTGCTCAAGCACTTTGTGAGGAAATTAAAATATTTTAGAATGGTACACTATGCATTCATATGAAATGTGCCTTTAATTATGTCATTCTAAGAAAAAAGTGTTTTGCAGTCATAAATTACCACAGATGCACAAATTAAAGTTTAAATAGATTGCAATTTGTAACTTTGGTTTTAAGTATTATTTCTTTTTGAAAATTTTACATTGATCAAAGTATGCGTTGGCTTTACTGTATTCAAGATCTCAAAGACGTTAACTTTAGTTAGCCTTCTTGCAAGTACTTTTTGTCCTGGGGAAGGGCAAAATCATGAAGAGTCACAGCAAGTTGTTCTCTTCACTGACAATAATGGGAAAATTTTGCATCTTACTCCTGTAAGGTCAGTAGCATCTTCTATTCAATGGATATTGATGGAATGCCTTCTGTGTACTAGACACTGAGGATAAAAGGTAGGAGGGAAACATCAAAGTCTTCATAAATAAAGAACAGTATGCATTCATGCTAAAATGTAAGCACCATATTATATGTACTTTTTTCATGTTTAAAGTTAACTTATTTTAAGACCTTACCTTTCAGAAAATAGGTTAATGTAAACAGAACATTAACATTTTATAGTCACTCAAAAATTACAAGTGACATATTTTAGAACAATAAAATTATCCATGCTGTTTCTGTAACACAAGTTGGGGGTCATAATGGAAATTGTTAATACAGGTTAATTAGGTAAATGCTACACTATAGATTCAAATCTAAGAAAATTTTTACAGGTGCTGCTTGTCTCCCCGAAAAACAGGGTGAGTATGAGAAACCCAAAGGAGCAAATAATTTAGAATTCTTATTTATCTACTAACTATATTTTGAGATCTAGTGTTTGTCTAAGATATTAACCTTATTGTGTGTATGCATATACATATACTGGTATATGTATATATATGTATGTATGTATAAATGTGCGTATATATATTTATAAACATGTATATAAATGTACACATATATTAATAGAGGTAAGCTTTTAAATAACTTCTCAGTGTTAAAAATCTTACATAATTGTCACTTCTAGTATTATGACTAAGGAAAAGCTCTAAGAAGACATCCATAATTTGAGGCATTTCTGGTTTTATTGAAGGTAGGAGTGGTCTCTGGCAACCCTTCACTCCCAACAGCAAACAAACTTGAGCATGAATCTGGACAAGCTAAGGCTTCAGATTAAGTTACTGAGTGCCTAAGCACAAAAGCGAGACTACTAAGAAGTTGGGACGGAAGCTGAGTCCACATAGTAGGCCAGAGAAGTAGGAAGTTGAAGAGGGTAAAAGCCAGAGTGGCAGGGAGCTGGTTTGGAAATGCAGACACCCGAAAGAAGTGGGGTTGCCCAGGATGGACTCCTCCAGCAATACCATTATGAGGACAACCTTGCAACAGCAGTAGAACTTACATTTTGTGCTAAAATCCTCAAGTTCTAATTTGAAAGTCACTCTCTTTCTAAAGTAGAATGAAATACTTTCTGAAGGAAAGCTTCTCAGGATGGGAACAAAGGCCTTTCACAAATTGAGGTTAAGTAAATACATGGTCTGGTGTTTAGTCGTTCACTAAGTATTGATCCCCTATTACTGGTCACCCGGCGTTGTGCTCGGTGCGGACAAGGCTCATGAAGTAGAGCCTACGGTTCATGAAGTAGGGGTACGTATACGTCACTTAGCAATGACATTAGTGTGATTCAGACTCCTCAAGGTGCTCTGGGAGTGCACCAGAGATCCAGGCAGGGAGTTAGTGAAGGGTTCTAAGTGGGGGAGGAAGATTTGAGTTTGCCACAGATGAGAGAACCTGGTACTTCTGAGGAAATGAGAATTCATTGTTCCTGGAGTGTGTGTATAAGCCGCAAGGAGAAGGTGAGTAGAGGTTAGGAAAGAAAGGGTCCTATTGTGCAGATGTTGTAGGCACTATTCAGGAGGTTATTTATCACAGGGCAGATCTAAATGTTATGGTACTGGAAGTGTGTGTACTTTTGGGGGGGTCCTCTTAATGAAATCCATGATAATAATATGGCTACTGTATTCAGAGCCTTGGGCCTGCACAGGTGCTCCTCAGATTTTTTTTGCTTTCTGATAAGTCACCTCTGCCTCAGAGCCGTGGAAACATCTTCAGCTCGGATGTGATTAGATTGCCATGTGGAGAAGGGTCAGAGGGTGCAAGACTGAAGGCAGGCACGAGCTTGGGGCCTCTTCAGCAATGGTGGGAAGTGATAAAGACATAAGCTAGGATATGGCACTTCGGTGTGAGAAAAAGTTGTATTCTGTTTAGGTGATAGAAACAAAGACTGGACTGACTTTATGTGGCCTAAGAGACCATATACTGACCCCATCACATGAATGTTCCCCACCAATGTGATTTCCACCCATCCTTCAAGGGCCTTTTTCAAGTAAAAAGTTATAGGGCTTTTTGTTTCTCTGTTTTTTACATTTTGTGCCCTGCTCTTTCCACACAGGCAGAATGAGTGTTTCCTCTTCTCTGACCCCCTTGGCCTCTGCACACACCTCCGTCTTGTCTAATGCATCAGTGCAGGGTATGCTTTATTCACCTCTAGTATCTTGCATCTCCAGGGTCTACATAGTGGAGAATAAATGGCTGCTTTTTTCTATACAAAGATTTTAAAATATTAACCCTTTGAGCGCCAACCAATATCCTAGGAACTATGCTAAAATTGCCAAGGCATTTTTGCTGATTTTACAGCAGTTTAGGAAAAAAATTATGAATCGCAAGTAAATGAAGTTACATATTCAAAAACTTAAGGAAACCTTTACTACATTTGTTTTCATCTTTGACATATATTGTTTGCTGATTGTATTATAAAATACTAGTAGAAAAAAAAAATTGCCTATAGCGCTCCCGGCACTTTTGGCAAAAGACAGGATGAGCGCAATCGCGCTCCCCGGCACTCAAAGGGTTAAGTATTAGTGATTGAGATCCAGCCTCAGATCAGTTGTTGATGTGAGTTGCAAGTGGGCTGCAATATAACAAGGGTGTTCCTCTGACAAGAGCCACTTCTTGTTTAAGTTCAGTCCTTCTGGACCTACAGAGAACTTCCACATTCATGCTGTCACTTGAAACTAGAGGCATTTTGAAAATCAGCACATGGAGGGTAGCAAGAGGCCTGGGACTAGTCCTCATTTTGCTAGTCTCTAGTAGTATGACGCAGGACAAGTTATTTCACCTTGCTAGTGACATAGCATTTCACCTTAATGTCTTCGTCTGTAAAATGAAAGAGTTAGAGTAGGGCATTCATTTGTACCTTCCTTTTCAAACAAAATCTTCAGTGGTACTCCAACACATAATTGGAGCAGAAGCGAGCCGGGGGCTATTTCTGAGGTCTTCTATGGAAGACCCTGATGTACACCGTTCGATGTCCATGCTGCTTGGAGGGCCTTCAAGAGACTTTAGAGTGGCCATTGAATATCCATCATCTCCAATATGCAGTAGAAGAAAACGGTGATAGACTAAAGCACAGTTAAAATGTGTTATCAGGGCCAAAATCTAGACCCATGATGTGTACTGAAGAGCAGACCACCCCTCAGATGAATAAACTAAAACAGTAGAAGTCGATTACACAGTAGATATTTGTTGGGCCTCAGCAATGTAGGAGGAGGTTGAAAGCTCTTGGTCCATCATTGACTTGTCTGGTGTCTCATAGCCATGTAGTGGAAGGAACCACAGATGCAGTAAGGGCATTCCAGAGAAATCTCTGACAGATACAGCTAGTCTGATAAAATACCTTCAGTAAGGTATTCAATGTGATAAATGTGTTCATCTGGAAGCTCCGTATAACTTTTACATCATAGACCTGCCTTGTGGAACAGTATAGATCACCCTAGCCTCTCCAGCATCTCTAAGAGCTGTAGACCCAATTCTTTTATGGTTTTTACTTTGTCACTTATGTCAATTTAAAGCAAACTGTCATTTGACAGAATCTCAAATTCAACAGGGCATCACTTCTAGTTCTTGCTCTTGCTGTTACTTAGCATACCAGTGATATTCTTTCTCAGAGCTCTCAAACATTTATCCTTTCATAGGCTGTTGCAGATGAGAGAAAGCATGAGAATTATTCTGATATTCTGCAGAGGAAAAGCTTTATGCTCATATTTTCCCTCCTTTTTCACCAAGTGCAAGCTTGAGCATCCTAGAATGGCAGTGAAAAGTCCCCCTGGCCAAGAAATGCCAGCAAGAATTATGAATGGAAGTGTATGTTTGTGAGAGATGCTGGGGCCTCTGGGGCTAGAGATCAGCTGAATGATGTGTTTGCAGCGACACCTTGAAATCTTGAGATCCTGATGAAAGGAGTATGCATGTGTAAATATCCGGGAGGGAGAGAGTGGAGAGGGGACCTTTCAGGAGGTCCATAAGTGGCAGATGAGATTAAAACTCCAGCAACAGGAAAAGTCAGGGCCATTGACAATTGGAAATATTGGCATGGGCACGGAGGCCTCTGGCTGGATTAGGACCAGATGGGTAATAGGCTGACCCCCTTCAGCTGTTCATCTTGATAATTAAAGTAAATCTTGCACCTGCGATACAAAATTAGCTTAGAAACCAAAGACAACCATGGGTAAAGTACATGTGTTGCTTTGAACACAAAGGCTTACTATCAAGAGGCATCTTGTTTAAGAAGCATTTATTTTGGAAGAAGTAAAGAACAACTTGTAGCAGTGATGGCGAACCTTTTGAGCTCGGCGTGTCAGCATTTTGAAAAACCCTAACTCAACTCTGGTGCCGTGTCACATATAGAAACTTTTTGATATTTGCAACCATAGTAAAAAAAAGATTTATATTTTTGATATTTATTTTATATATTTAAATGCCATTTAACAAAAAAATCAACCAAAAAAATGAGTTTGCGTGTCACCTCTGACACGCATGTAATAGGTTCGCCATCACGGACTTATAGCTATTAACTCCTTGACACCTGGACTGGTTTTTAAATATTTTAAAAACTCAACTCTGAAGAGCTTTCCCCAAGAAGCCAGATAAAAGTGTTGCTTTGAATAATTCTGTTAATCTTAGTAATTGAACAGAATTTTATTTGGAAGCTACAACTAAAGTTCATCTTGAGGCAGCCTCCTAAGTTTCAATAGTGGGTTTAGTAGAAAGAGCACTGGATTGAGGGATCGAGAGACCTGAGTTAGTCCCACCTCTTGCTACGGTGAACTTGGACAGAACTTGCGGTTTCTCTGCATGTCTCTGATCTACAAAATGGGGGTATTGGACCAGAGGGCTCAACCTTAGAATCCATGAAACAATCCAATCCTTGCACTCAGTGTAATAGCAGAGATTGTCAATGAAAGTGGCTTCCAGTGTCTTCCCCCCACTCCTTCTCTTTTTGGGTAACTCTGTTTTAAATACCCGGATGGAAGGAGCCATATTAACCAAGATTTCAACTGCTTTAAAAATGTTAGAATGCACAGGAGGGATCCACTTCATCATGGCTCACTCCTATTCCTAACTTGCTAAAATGTAGGCAGCTATGAATGAGGTGGGTGTAGGCAGAAGCTGGCTGCTATGAACGAGGTGGCTGTCCACCTATGTATGAGGAGTTTTTCATACCTCAAGATGAGTAAAAGTCATAACCAATCGTTGGTTTAGAATGTATTATATTTTAAGTACAGTAGTTCTCCACCCATTCGTGAGGGATGTATTCCAAGAACTCTAGTGGATGCCTGAAACCTCGGATAGTACCAAATCTTACATATACCATGTGTTTTTTTTTCTGTACATACACACCTATTTATATAAAGCTTAACTTATAAATTAGGCACAATAAGAGATTAATAGCCATAAGCATAAAATAGAACAATTATAACAATATACCACTGTAATAAAAGTTATGAGTGAGATCTCTCTCAAAATACCTTATTGTAATCATCCCTTCCTTGTAGTAAACGGTGCCACTTGTTTCAGGGGATTCCTTGCTGAAGTCTGCATACAGGCTCAGTGCCATCAATCAAAACATGTTTTCTATTCATGTCTTCCACCCACAAATTTAAAGCCTTTTCCATCTTAACCACTCTGTGGCCATAACTTTTGCAGTTTGAGGTGCGACAGTAAAGCTAGCACAAATTTCTTTTTCCTCCATCTGCCACCTGAATTATTTCTACACTTGTTTTTGAGCTTGCCAATTCTCCATGTGGCCTGTTCTATTTCAGTGCTTTCTGATGCGTTTTCCATCTCATTTTTAAGCTCCAGAATTTGATTCTTTTTTTATAGTTTAAATATCTTTGGTAAAAGTACTCCTTTATCCATTAATTTTATTCCTGAACCCATCGAACTGAACTGCATTTCTGAGTTTTCTTATATCTTGAGTTTCTTCATGGCTATTTTGAATTTTCTATCATTTAGATCACAGTCTTCCATGACTCTTGAGCTTTTGTTGTTTCTGCAGAAACCAAACTTGGTTGTTCAAGTTGGCTGATGTGTGTTCTACCAGCACATTTGAGATAGTGAACACTTTTCTTAAGGACTAGTTTGCTTTCAATAATTCAGCAGGTTGATAGGTCTTTCATTTTCCAGTAGATGGCACTAGTTTTGGGTTTTTTTTTCTTACCAGCACTACTGGTGCCTCAAAGGTCATGGTAGGGGGTATCCCAGTGGCCCCTGGAGTCACTGTCTGGATGTTAGGGTGGTGGGTGTTCCTGCTGTGTCCCTGTCATTTGGATCTCGGGGAACTACCACCATCGTGGGGGAATGTGGTGGGTGAAAAGGAGCTGGGTTCATGAGCCTGCCACACAGTTACCTGGTTCCCTCTGTGTGCAGGTGCCTCTGTGCTGCAGCCCTGAGGGCATTGACCAGTTGCAGCTGCTCCCAGGCTCCATCATATGGCAGGAGGGAGCTGGATTCTCCAGTGCTGGCACTGCTTCTGCTCTTTACCCTCCAGTGAGCATAGTGTGGGGGCCACACCCTGACTTAGCTGGAGAAAAGGCGTTATTTGTTGGTCTTCGCTTACATTGCCTAGCAGTCAAGTGACCTTAAATCAGTGTTCCTCAAAGAGTGATATGCAAAACACCTACACATCACAATCACCTGAGGGTAGGGTGCTTATTAAAAAAATTCCTGGACATTATCAGGCCAAATCTCCATTTAAAATATTCTTTACCCTATGAGTATCCCAATCAGTAAAAGTAACAAAGAATTATGGATATGCAGATTTTATAAAATGAAACGTTAAGATCTGAAAATTGAAATTTGTTGCTCTATTTATTTACCAGCATCTTCTCTGCTCAATCTCATGGAGGAAAACGCATTCTTATCAAGGCAGTGCCTTTCAGTGTCCAGTTCATCACTTCTTGCCTTTTTTTTTTTTAATCCTCACCCGAAGATATTTTTTCCATTATTAGAAGAGTGGAAGGGAGGGGAGGAGAGAGAAAGAGAGAGGAACACCATGTGAGAGAAACAATTAGTGACCAGGGCCAGGGATCGAAACCCACAACCCTTTGGTGCACAGACTGAGGCCTTAACCACTGAGCAACATGGGCCAGGGCACTTCTTGCTTTTTAATACATACATAGGGTGTCCCCAAAAATGTATACACACATTTTGAATAACTATAAAGGCAGTTTATGAAAATATACTTTATTTTCAAAGTTAAGCCATCAGCTGTTAGAGTGTATATACATTTTTCTGGAACACCCTATATAAATTATAAGCCACACAAACACTTAAAACTACAAACTTGTTCTTGTTGTCAACAGCCATTGCTAGTTCCATGACTTTATTAAAATTTAAAAAAAATAACATGAAACAACTAAATATATATTTCTTAAACAAAAAACAAGGACTTCTATCAGCTTTATTAGCTACAATAATATGCCTTATTTGTAATTATAAATTATAAATTACATATAACATGTAATTATAACAAAAACTTTAGTTTTGAAAAACATTTTATTCAAGACTTACATAATTTCAAATATCTTCCAAAATAGTTTCTAAATAGCTAAAAAAGAAAGCAAATTCAATAAGAAATTTAAATCATTAAATATGTTTTACTAGTATATACATACATAATGCCAAGCAATTAACATTAGCCCTGGAATGCGTACCATTTCTTTTTCCTTATTAAAGGCTCAATCCAGCACTTTATATACGCTATGTACAATAGGCAAAGTTCAGTGACCACAAGAGTTTGACATTAGCTGCCTCAATTTATAATTGGGGTAGTTTGTCAACAGGGGTGTCAAATTTGAAGTCTGGAGGAAACAGATCTGGGGCCCGAGGATAGATTAGTCTGTAGGACTGCCTGATTGTAACATCAGCAACACCAGCAATATCTCCAATTTCTAAAAGACAAAAAATAAAAATATTAAAAGTATAACTTCTATCCTACCTACATTCTACTACCTAAATTTCAATTTGTGAGATACAGTTGTATAAAATGTCAAAGTGAAAAACAAAACCAAAGCTATTGTTTTTTAAAAATCAATAATGGAATTATATACTAAAAGTCAAAAGCAGGGCTAAAGTTATTACTGGTATTACCCTATTACCTCAAAGGGTTATCATCAGTATTAAAAGTTTTACTACATGTAAAACATTTGAACAATGCTCAGGGCATAGCACTGCAAGTGGCAACCATTATATTGGCCTTCATATTTGAAACTGACATCTCCTTTTTCTTCACAATAAACCTTTTTGAGGATCATAGAAGTAATCCATGAATGCATTCTTGTGAAGAAATTAACTTTATTATTTAAAGTTCCCTTGCAACATCTCCCTCTTCTGTTATGAGGCTAAAGCCAAAAAGGGATCATACTATAAATATTGTTCTAAAACTTTTTCCTACTTATTACATCAGAGATCACACAGCTGAATATAACAGCACAATGTAGATGTGTTTCGCTATTATAAACACAGTTGAGCATATATATTCTCTATTATAAACAGTTGATACTTGTTCTCTATCCTGATTTCTGGGCCTCATCCTCTGGAAATTCTGTTTCTTTGTTATGGGGTGGGGCCACAACATTAGTAACAAAGAAACAGAATTTCCAGAGGATGAGGCCCAGAAATCAGGATTTTAAAAAGATTCCCAGGTGATTCTAATGTGCAGCCAAGGTTGAGAACCACTGGCCTAGACTAGAGTATAGAAAGGAGTGGATACAATTTAACCCTTCAAAGTAGTTACCACTTTTTTTCTTCTTTTTATTAAAAGAAATCCTAAAGGACTACCACTTGACAATTATTTGTTTAGTTATAAATAATTAAAATGGATGTTTAAAACATGCCTTTTAATAAAAACTCAAATAAATGAGGTTTTACATTTTCAGTGATAGCTGGTGTGCAGCTAACTGATTTTGAATTTCCTTATGCATTACATCGTTTTAGACATAGATACCGATGAATGTCAACTATGTGAATATGAACTTACAGGAAGAAAAGGGCCTTAACTTTCAACAAAACATTTAGTCTAAAACACAAGTAGAAGAAAGTGTCTGGATAAAATTTTTGTGTTGTTGATTAGAATAAACTTTACAACTAGGAATCAGTAAGGACCACCTGTGCCTAGCTTCAGCTTATAAATTCTACCAGAAGACTCAAAATTTCCTTAAAAACATGAGTGGCCTGACCAACGTGGCTCAGTGGTTGAGCATTGACCTATTAACCAGGAGGTCACAGTTCCATTCCCGGTCAGGGCACATGCCCAGGTTTCGGGCTCAATCCCCACCGGGGGGCGTGTAGGAGGCAGCCGATCAATGATTCTTTCTCATCATTGATGTTTCTATCTCTCCCTCTCCCTTCATCTCTGAAATCAATATATATATATATAAAGAAATATGAGTGGAGGCCAAAGGCAATCAGGGCACATTTAAATAACAAATGGTGACTTATTCCTGATCATTCTTCTATATCATTTACTACTTTTATGATAGGGAAACATGGCCTAAGCCGATGTGAAAGGCTATTCCGAATAGGGTATTATAGTTATTGCAGTAAGTAATTTCATTACCACACTTTTACATATTTAACTGCTCTTTTTTCTTTATGAATCTTTTTGAGGATCACAGAATGAATGAATTCATACTTATAAAGAAATTCACTAACACTTCTGTTTGAAAACAATGCTAAATTAAAAAATGGCTTTACAGTGTATAAGGTGGAAACTACTTATGCCAAGTGTTTTCATTAGGAGACTGTGAATACTGTACAAAAGGAGACAGAATAGGCTTCACAGACTGTTACAGCCTGATTGCCAGGCGGTGAGAAACAAGGCATGGCCCTCCTCTCAAGATTTAAAAAAGTAAGTTTTGAGGAGGGGGAAAGAAAACTATTCAAAATAACCAGGAAAATGTGGGGGAGGGAGGGAGGGAGGAAAAAGTCTAAATATTAAGCATGTACAAACTAAAACTAATTCAAATGAGAAAAAAGATTAAGTCTATACAAAGGCTAAACCTCCAAACATTTTTATATATGAGCTCCTAAGAAGGGAAATACTCTATTTTCTTAAGTTATGATGGTATGGAACTACCTCTTAAAGTGGGTTCTGGATATTTACCTGCTTCATATCTAAAATGGAACTAACCATGACATGCTACAGCCACCATGGTTTTATCACTCCTCTCCTACCTTTTTGGGTCCTCTTCTCAGCTGATGCCTGTGAGGCCATGTAAATGGCTGCTGCCGCCACAGATATCGGGCTCCTTCCAGGCACCAAGTCCAGTTCCACAGCTTTACGGGCTATATGTGTAGCTGCCATCTGCACTTGCTTAGGAAGACAGAGGTTGGAACAAAACCTGGACATGAAGTCCCCAGTTGTAATCAAATCCACACTGGTTTCTAAAGCTTTCAAAATAAGTTTAAAACATCGACCAATTTCTTTCTTAGAAATTCGTGATACGGCACATATTTCTAAAAGAAAAAAAAATAGATAAATACATCTATATAAGTCATATAGTTCATTTTAAAAATATCATTTCAGATTACAAAAGTAATACATTCTAATAGCAAAAATTCCAACCATGCCTTACAGATGAATCCCTAATCATCTCCATACTTCCCTTAGAGCAGCGGTTCTCAACCTGTGGGTCACGACCCCATTGGGGGTCGAATGACCCTTTCACAGGGGTCGCCTAAGACCATCGGAAAACACATATATAATTACATATTGTTTTTGTGATTAATCACTATGCTTTAATTATGTTCAATTTGTAACAATGAAAATACATCCTGCATATCAGATATTTACATTACGATTCATAACAGTAACAAAATTACAGTTATGAAGTAGCAACGAAAATAATTTTATGGTTGGGGGTCACCACAACATGAGGAACTGTATTAAAGGGTTTCGGCATTAGGAAGGTTGAGAACCACTGCCTTAGAGCTAATTTAAATTTCCTGTTAATTTAAATGTTTATCAAACTTGAAGGACATTTTTTCCCCAAGGTTAAATGCAGATCTTTTTTATTTTTTTTAAATCCTCACCCAAGGATAGTTTTTCCATTGATTTTTAGAGAGAGTGGAAGGGAGGAAGGGATGGGGAGAGAAACATCCATGTGAAAGAGACATATTGACTGGTTGCCTCCCGTTCCCATATGAGCTCCGACCAGGGCCAGGGATCGAACCTGCAACCCAGGTTCGTACCCTTCACTGGGAACTGAACCTGTGACCCTTAGATGCGAGAACCAACGCTCTATCTATTGAGCCACACCGGCCAGCACTTAAATGCAGGTCTTAATATTTAAAAATATTAATGTACCTGAAGGTTCAATTTATGTAAATAATATTCTTCAAGCAATCAAAAACTTCTTTGATATTTATATATTAATCTATAAGGAATATGTATCAAGGAGATAAAAAAATACTCAAGCTAAACAAAGAATGCTTCTCCAGCTACACAATGTCTTATGTACATGCTATCCCTGTGATTATAGGCTGCAGCAAAACAAAATAAAATATATGAGCCTGTTGGTCTAAAAATTCAACTACCAAGCACTTTAAAAATAAATTTAACAAAAGCCTTAGTTTCACTTGTAATAAAAAAGATGATAAAGGCCACTGCCTCTTCATATTGATGTAAGAAAATGTAAAAATTAAACATTCACAGATAAATAAAGGGTAATTATAGTCTTAAGCCAAAACGAACCCTGGCAGTTAAAGTCAGTATACGCATCACAGCAATACTGAATAAGTGGTCACGTATTCATAGGTAAACTGCAAACTGGATGAAAAATACTAGTTCTCTCAAAGTCTCCAACTTAAGTGTGAAAGTGCAAATTGCATAACTCAGGATAAAAAATGTCACTGATGCTTTTTAAGGGTTGACTCCCTCACTTGTAGAGACGTGGCTATATGTGGAAACTGTTTTCTATGCATCAAAAATTTACAGACTCACTACAGAGTCC